GGCGTGTTCTAAAGCTCTGACCCCGACTTACTGTTAATCCCGAACCCAGTTCCCCAACTTTAAAGTTAGCACCGGTTGGTGTTGAGGTTAGGTCCCCCAGGCGGTGCAGGTGAAAATTACCATTTAGAGCTTTGCAGCATAGGGCGTGAGGTCTTGAATCGGGCTTCGATGTTCGTGATTGTGGGTTTGGGGTTGAGGTTTAGGGCTCTCGGGCCTAGCGTTTTTCACAAGGTGGGCTTTTCCAACTCTTTTGTGTGAAACCTGGGCAGAACTGCTGTGACAAATGATATGCAGGACTAGTGGGATTCAGGACTGGAGTCATGGTGCACACCCGATAGTGATAGCATTGTGTCATGTTATCATCTTCAGTGGTGTTCACCCTTACGGTTTTAGTTTGGCTTGTCGACCTCTCTGTTCGACTACGGTCTTCGGCAGCAGGCTCTAGAGGTATGGATCCAAGAGTTAGAGTTCAAGACTGTTTTGCTCCGACTATGCTCGAGTTCCTGCCCGGAGCTTCATCTCTGGCCTCCGAGCCCTACTCCCCGAGCCTGAGTCCCTTCTCCGAATCCTTGACACCATAGTTGTTGAGGAGACTCCATATCTGCGAGCCATGAATCCCGAAAATTCCCCGGGGCACCGGAATCGATCATGCCTTGAGGTCAATATTTGGCCGCCGATTAAGAAAACCCACGTACATCCTCACTCTAAAGCTCCAAAGTCTAGAGCCAGGTCGCGCAGAAACCCAACTCCAAATCCCAGAATCCGAGCCTTCAGCCACGTCTGCATTGGAGATACTGGAAGCTTCGTGCGATCGCAGAAGCCTCCAGCTAGTGCAAAGCGAGGCGCTCCCAATGCCGCAAAACCTGTGGCAGGCTCATAGTCGAAGCGCCCCAGCCCCTAAGAACCAAAGTCAGGCACAACAGTCAAAAGTCCGAAACCTAAGCAGCCACAGAAGCGCACTTGCTTGCAAGGGGCGAATGAACTCCGCAGTTGGCAGCCTGACGTACGCGGCACCAGAGGCAGCCGTGTGTACACACAGCTGTTGTTCAGGGCTCTGGAGGCTGTTGGCTGTCGGGTTTCAAGTCAGGTTTTGGAGGGTTTGGGCAGGAATCGGCTTATCACGAGCGAGCGAGGTGCTGGAAGCGAAGGAGAAGCAAGGGTACACGGCCTTGACCTCAGAGGCTTATTGTGGTTTCGGGTTGCAGGATATGGGGTGAAAGGGCTTTGGGTTTCCGCCCCCTTCCCCATCCAGAAAACCCCTCATAGCACCAGAAAAAGTGGCAGAGCGCCAAATGTCTTTAAGCCGCTTAAACCCCTCCTGACCAAGGCTGCTTGTGATCTCTGGAGCTTGGGGGTGGTCACCTACGCTCGGGAGCTCAGCCAGCATTGTTCTCTTCTGGGAATCCCCGTTTTGGGGGTGTGTAATACTGAAACGCTTGGTGTTGGGCCAGCCTTGAATGTCCATCCATCGTTGTACAGTTTTCGGGATCAAGCTGTCGGTGCCGATAGAGGGAGGTTCGCAGTGAAGTTCACAGATGGTTGCCACGCTGCCTGTGTTTGGCCAGGCACGAGTGTCACAGGTACTCACCAGCGGCCAAAGGGACACAAACCAAGACGAGACCCGGAGAGGGAACAATCTGCTCGAAAAGAATGGATTCACTTGTAATTCTAGAAGATGTGGACTCACAGATACCCTGTAGAGTCGAGCAAAACCCCTCGAATGACTCCAGGTGATGCTCTGCGGCAAGCCGCCCTTCTGGGGCAACTACAATGAGCAGCTCAGGAGGCTGGCGTTGCGTGTTGTCTTCTTGCTGCAGATGGTCTGTTTCGAGTCGGGTAAATCGCGCACTCTAGGCACAGAATCCCGAACTGTCCAAAGAGCTATGAACGGTCCCTAGACCATCCGAACATCAAAGTCCTTAGAAGCCTTTGAAGCCCAAGGCTCCAGGGGTGTGCAGTTGCGTTGAGAAGTGGCGTTATTTAAGGGCCTGCAAGGGCTCTTTGGGGTTGTATAGATGGTGTGCCCGCAACCCTAACTTCCTTGCACCCGGAGCCTAACTTCCTTGCACCTGCGCCAAAAGGCCAGGCTGTCATGTCTGGGCTTGGGTTTGTCGGGCTTCGGGTAATTCACGGCCTTCGAGGCCCTTGACACCTCTATCGCGCCACAGGAGGTATCGACAACCCTTAACCCTCGGCCCAAAGCCTGGAAGGAAGCTAAGGTCTTGAGTTTGTCGCGCAAGGATGAAGAGGGAGACCTTCCCCATGTCGGATGCGACCTGGCAGCAGATCTCGCGGCCCGCCAAGGCGCGAGAGCTCGGATCCGAAGGGGGGTTCAGGTTTTTTTTTTGGGGGGGGAGGTTGGGAGGCTTGGCGTTGGGGGGTCTATCCTAACACAAAGTCTAAAAATGCAGGCACGAAAAAGCGTGATTTTCCTTGCGCAGCTTGTGGTTCACAGTGTCTGATGCCGTTATCAGTACAGGATTCGGGGCGAATGGTTTTGGGGTTCCTCACTCGGGCATTGCCAGGTTCAGGGTGCTTACTCGAGCCCCGAATGCCCGAAGTGCTGCCAAGCCCCAAGCCCAAGCTGGAAGGACCTCATCCGCGGCCTGCTTCGTGCAGATCCCAAGCAGAGGTGGCCGATTCTGCTTGAGTGTTGACTGCCGGATGTGGAGGGCACAGAGAACGGGAAAAGAGACAGCATCACAACATCAAGAATCCGCTCAAAGTTCTAAGCCCCCAAGGCCGGTTCGCAGCTCTGAACAGAAACCAAACCCAGAAGACCCGCTTTTCTTGAGGGGTTCCTGCAGACATTGCTTGTGGTCTGGGTTTGGGGCTTACAAGTCTCTAGGCTCCTCAGAACTTGTAGCTCTTCGGCTCTTCGGTCATTTGTTAGCTGCGACTTGCTATGGTTCTGTGTCCTCACAAGGATATCAATGAATCGTTCGTACGACATGTGGGATAAGGGGTAAGTAAAAGGGGTTCAACAGGTGCACGACTGGTAGTTGAGGTGATGGCGCCAGAAGGGCCCTTTGCGCAAAGAGCCCTTCAGGTAATCGGATGTGATGAACAGGATGTACGGCCTTTCCTTGGCACGGGCAATGGTGTCGCTCCGCTTGTCGGTTGGTTCGTACTTGGGTTTGCGATAGTCGATATCATAGACATCGCAAGTTTGCAGGATGAAGCTGGAGGACGTTCTCCGGAATCCATGGCTCAGGTTCGCTTCAGGGCTGGTTTTTTCGAGGCTTCCAGGTAGAAGCATGGACACAAAAACACTACCTAATCAACTGCCGATGATTCGGGAAACGGTCGAACACGCAGAGAGTTTTCAGCCGTGTTGGTCGTGGAGGTTTAGGATGCAAGCTTGTAGCAGGATGTTCCAACGGAAAGGTGTTTTGGGATACGGGATATGTTAAGCTGCACCCCCCACCCGAAACCGTCACGGAGCTTCGTGCAACAACGACTTGCGATCGCAGTGCTGGATACATTGCATCGGGCTCAAGGTTCACAGCACCAGCAGTGCACCTGTTGTTTCGATTCAGGGTTTATGCGGAGCTTCTGGTATTTGCAGTTGGCGCAGGGTGCAAAGATGTTGTTCTTATCACCTTGCCACGCGACAGGCTTCAGGAGAGCCAGTCGGCTATGGACAACAAGATCGCCAGCCAGGACCGGATAATCCTGAACAGGCAGTGTTGGATTTTTGGCGGGTTCTACAGTCAGGTTCGCCTTTCTCGTTCCCACTGTTTGAGACACAACCCTCTTGCTCTCTGGACTGGTCTTGGTGCGATGCCAGAGCCAGAGGGAGCGCTCGTAAGTATAATCCCACTATGGAGCTCAAAAGAAGAGAGTTTAGGGTTTCTGGGCATGATGGCCAAAGCCTGTGGCGCCCTTTTGGAGCCCAGGAGAGATGGCCGGGTTCAGCGTAAAAGGTTGTCTTTTGGTGTTTGGGCCGGGACCCTGTAAAATACATACCGGCAGCTAAGGAAACAATGTGGCGGATGTTGCAGCATGATGCAGCAGACTGGTTTGATGTTCCGTTGGAGTTCCTTCCAACGTTACCGCTATTGGCTAGTGTCGCGAAATGGCCAAGTTGCCACAACTTAGACTCGTTTGGTCCTTAGGTTGTGGTACTGCCTTGCAGCCTTGCGCTGGTTGTTCATACATCAGACCCTCAAGTTTGCAGAAGGACGATTACTGGCGAATCGGCAGCATGGGGGAATGTACACGCTACCAAGTACCAAGAGCACCGCCGACATGGGCACCGATACTCAGATCCTTGTGCAAACTCTTCGGGTTTGCGGCTTTGGAGGTTGGCAGGGGCTTATTGGCTTCAGCATAGAGGAGGTTCGGGTTGGCTTGTCTTTCGCTTCGCTTGAGCTGACTGCGCCTTGCGGCAACAGCCTGTAAAACGCGAAGACCCTCATTTGCCACCGCCGACAGCGGCAGGTCCTGACGAACTTGCGACAGTGAGGGACCTGGGTCTCCGTGCTGCTACCACTTTGAAGAGAGACTCTTCTTCTTCGAATTCAGGAATGGATGAAGATGAAGTTTTACTGCAAGAAGGAAGTGCTCTTACACCTTACAGTAGCTCCTGTCAAGATTTGAGATCTGCTACCCTAGAGCATAGCAGGCGTGCCCACTGTGAAAGATTGCTGGGAACCATCCCCAAAGCCTCATCCGGCACCGAATCAACAAGGAAGCTCGACTTAAGCTGCGTGTGTGTGTGTGTGTGTGTGTGTGTGCGTGCATACATACATACATACGTACGTACGTACATACATACATACATACATACATAATACATGTCCTAAGTCACATTCTGGAATCCCTGTGCAGTTTGGAGGTTTAGCTTGTTTCGAGGGGTATTGGGCCATATCGGTAGAAATCCGATCCATCCCAAAGCAAACGAGAAGAGAGCAAATTGCAAGCCACGAGGTTTAGCCGGACCTCCCAATTCTTCACTATCTGCGTTGCTTCCGCGGGGGCCCCAGTCACTCGATTCGGTTTTTGAGATCCATGAGATGGTCTTTAAGAAACTAGGTCTGTCAGGCCACAAGGACAAGGAATGCCGGAACTCTTCGCAGACGGTTGGGGCGGTGTCGAATGCCTCAGGTTCGAGGAGGTGACAAGACAAGATACAACAGATAAGATAAGCGACACCTGGGGCTTCGCCGTGGGCCTTGGGCTTTGGGGGCTTTGGGAGAGGAGCTCTCTCGTCTAAGGAGCGTTTCAGCCACCTGCGCTCGAGAGCCACCTAAGCCGAAGCTGCATTGCAAGGTAGCGCGCCAGTTGGACCACAAGAGCCTCCGGGACGTCCACAAGGCTCCGCGAATAGCTCAGATCTTTCTACCCAGTGTATTTCAGAAGTAGGTTACACTTGAGGCTTTCAGCTCCCTTTATCTTTATGCGTGCCTTCCTTTTGCCCTCCTTACCGCGCCCCCTTGTACTCGAAGCAGGGTCGTGTGGTTCATCTAGCACTATGGCACGCCCTTATGCCGTAAGTCCCTGAGACCCTTCCCGGAGCCCTCAAGAAACCCCATGCTCCATGGGCCTTAGCACTGAGCTCCCCGCCACTATCTTTATTCCTGGTTTCATCAACTGGCGGATTACACTACTCGCAACCCTTAAGCCTCAAGCCACACCCACTAGAGACTCTACGCTTTACATCAATCCCGACAAAAACCTCGGTGGGCCAGCGTCTGGGACTTTACATTGTTATGCCATCGCCCGCACACGAACAACTCGGAGGTCTTTGCCGAGATGGACACGAACGGAGACGGCGTGCTCGAGCTTCACGAGGTGGCTTAGGTGACTAACCCAACCCTCCATGCGCGACTGCAGGCATATTGAAAACTCCAGAAACCAGAAACCCTAAATCCAAAATCCGGGGTGGTTGAGATGCGCAGGTTGGAGAAGGGGACTTCAGAACAAGCACACCCTGACCCCCCCCCCCCCCCGAGACTCTGAGCCTAAATTCCGAACCCCACGAGATCCTCGGAGCCTGAACTTCATCAGGTCCGAGCCGGATTCCAGAAGTTCTTTGGCCGGGCCCTCGTCTGCACTTCCTTTCGACTTTATCTCGCGACTTGCAGGATTTTCATGTCCGTAGTATAGGAGCTTGAATAAGTGCAGCAATCGAAGTTTCTATCCCGCTTGCGGTATGACCTCGCCGCATAGTATGCTTATGCCTCTACATTGCAAGTCCGAATCTTTGTGGTTTCTGAACTCCAACCGCGCCCAGCGCCCAGTTGATGCCAAGGCCGAAAGTCAATTTCCTAAGCCCCGTGCTCTGAACGACTGAGCCTTTGAAATGGGGGTGCCCAGGATTCGAACGGCGATCTTGGAGCGGGTCTTGCAGATGTTATGATGGTCTTCGCACCAATCAGGTCTGGGTGTTTGACTTCGGAGAGCTGACCAGCTGCAGCAATATTCTTGCCCTGATAATCCTTGTACAGTTCTAGCAAAATGTACCCAAAGCCCTATTCTCATCACGGAGGCCCCTTGCTTCGGGAATGAAGGTCCCTGAGTTGAGGTCGCGACAGCCCGCAGGTTCAGGACGTTGAGCAAGTCTTTCAAAAGCCCAGTGCCCAGCGACTAAGCAGGAGCTTCTGGAAGCGGAAGGATAGCTTTGGAATTTCGAAGGCGTTCGCTGTACGTCTGAGTGTGTGGCGTTGCAGCTCGACGATGAGGGGAGCAGAAGCAGAGTGGTAGAAGCACTGCGTCCCAGACTCGACCTCGATGGATCTGGCTTCATCGACTACACGGACACTCTCTCGTGGGTTGTTTGGGAGCAGGGAGGGCTCTGAAACTCTAGGAGCTGTCCGGGGCTTAGGGTTTTGGGGGGCACAGATTTTCAATTTAGGTTCAATTTAGGGTTGAGTGTGTCAGGTTTATGGTTTCGGTGTTTGGGGATTTTGGTGCAGAGTTCCCTTTGGTCATGCGTCTGGCCTTTGTGCAAGAGCACTGGGCTTCATGTGCCTTTCTAAGGTGCTTCTGCAGCAAACTACGGCGACCTCGGGAGTTTGTTGCAAAGGTCGAAGAATTTTCCATAACTTTGCCGCCATCTGCATCTGGTTCGGGAGGACCCTCAACGCAAAGTGCTAAGCCCCTAGCGCCAGACCTTCAAGCCTTCTAAGTTATAAACCCAAATCAAACCTTAAGCCTGCATACCCTAACTCGTCCCTGAGCCCAAACTCCCGTCCTTTTCTCTGGTGGCCCAGAAAGCATTCTGCGAGGAGTTCTGCGCCGCGGGGATCGGCGAGCGCGTGAGCTTGGAGGCGGCTGCATCGGGAGCAAGTCTTATCTGTTGTCTCCTAAATGTGGGAATAGACCTCAAATTCAGGGTGTTTTTCATTCAACGCGTACTGGGTGGCGAAAGCAGGAATGCAGGTCTGCGAACTTATCTGCCCGCGCACAAAGTGCAAAACAAGTGTTGCAGCTTGGGGAAATTTGGTGTCAGCGCTCCAAGGACTTCCAGGTTCAGGGTTGGGGCCAGAAGCCCCGTATTACCTTGGCAAATCGCTCGACGATCGTTACGCGCAGTTCAACCATAGGCCTGGCCTCTTGACGGGAACTTAAGATGATTTCATTGAAAAATGGCAGTGCTAGATGCAAACCTGCATCGCAACAGTCTAGAACTTTACCCCGGGATGTAGTCAAAGCACCACTGACTTACAGGCAAAAGCTGTTCTAAGCCCCAAAGCCTTAACACACGGAATTTCCCTAAAGCCCTACAACCCCAACCCCTTCGCGCGCGTAAAGTCTCAACTCCAGGAAGACGTCCTTTGGGCCGCCTTCAAGGCCTTTGACGTGCAGGAACCCGTCGGTCGAGTCGGCCACGAACTCTTGGGGCATTCTTTGTGCATCTTTGTGCATCCAGCCAGGGTTGCATTCCAGAGATAAACGGCTCACAGTGCAAGGCATCATTCTACCTTAGATCCGGGCATGTGCGAAGGACGACGATGGCCGTATCACCAAGGAAGAGGTCCAGCAGGCCTCGCTCTGAAACATTGCAACCTCGTGTGTTCCGGTTGGGTAGCCGGTCGTACTGAAAATGAGTGTGTACGCCATGTCCGTCATTAGGTATTTAGGCCGGCAGGTAGGCAGGTCGGTGGTAGTATAGGTATGTACGTAGGTAGGTGTGTGTGCATGCATGCCTGCATGCCTGTCTGCGTGCCTTTTGCGTGCCTGCATGTATAGACAAATATGAACAAATGAATGAATGCACGCATGCATGAATGAATTGAATGAATTGATGACCACAGGCGTGTGTGTACGTAAGTGTTGTATGTACTGCAGGTGTCATGGGTATTGTAGGTAATGTAGGTGTTGTAGCTAGCAGCAGCTCGAGCAGGTAGTGTAGGTAGTGTGGGCATTGTATATAACTGTATGTATGCAATGTAAGTAATCTATGCAACATATGTCACGTATGTAGCCTATATAGAGCATTGCAAGGCATGTATGTATGCATGATGCATGTATGGAAGTAGGGAGCAGGTAGATAGGTAGGTAGGTAGGTAGGTAGGTAGGTAGGTAGGTAGGTAGGTAGGTAGGTAGGTACGTATGTAAGCATTTATGCATGTATGCATGTGTGCGGGTATGCATGTATGCATGTTCGCATGCATGCATACGTAACTGAGTGTTAATATTGGTGCGGATGTCATTGTCAACGTCAATGCTGGTCTGTATGTTGATGTTCGCTATGTCAATGTCGATGCAAATGTCAATGCTCATGACAAGGATGCTGATGTTAAGTGTAACGCAGCATATGCAGTTCAATGTAATTTCCTGGAATGCAAGGTACTTTCATGCGATGCCATGCCATGTCGTGCAGTGTATTGTGATTTAAAAGCTATTAACCTCTCTCTCTGTGTTGGCTCGCTAGTTTGATCTGTCTGTCTGTCTGTCTTCCAGCCTGCCTGCCTGCCTGCCTGCCCGCCTGCCTACCTGCCTGCCTGCCTGCCTCTCT